ATAACTAAACACCCTTGTAATAAAAACTTTAAAAATTATAAAAACACCGCCACTCAACCATTAAATTCCGGCAGCTGGCCACCACTGTCGGAGGGTGATCGGAGTCACCGTATCGACGCACAACCGGCTGGATTTGGCCAGTCGTGCGTCGAGATGACCTATTCCAGCCGTATTTACGGCTAGATTTGGCTATGTTTGGTCATCAACGACGGTCATATTCTGACTGTTGACAGCTAGATCTTTGGCCGTAACTGGTCGTCAACGACGGCCATATTTTGGTCGTCATTGACGACCAGTTACGGCTAAAGATCTAGTCGTCAACGGTCAGATCTTTGGCCATGGATCTAGCCGGAAAATAATAGATCGACGCACTATCGGCAAGATCCAATCGATAGTGTGCCATTATACTAGATTCCTACCATTTTTCGCTAGTGACTGCTAGAATCTAGCTAATGTGAGTGGGTGGGGGTATTTTTATTAATTTTTAAATTTTATTTCTTAAGGGTGTTTAATTAAATTAATAAATTTAAAAGGTTTAAAAATAATTAAATAAAATATAATGATATCTCATACAAATAGTTATTTTGAGAATAAGTTTGGAAATATGATAGAAAATAAAAAAACAAACAGACGCTCATTATTCAGACTTGAATGATAATTATTTATGTAAGTTATTACACTATAAATTGATGTGACAATTTGGTATTATTAACGTATCATCTATGCTAATTTTTTAAAAAAGATTTTGAAAAGAATGATTTTGAATTTTTTATACACGCAACAGACGATAACTTTATTGAGACATTTGAGTACAAAGAATCATTGAATCTACTTGGCAGCTTTATTTTATTAGTTATTTTTTAGCTATTTGACTCTTTCAATATTAACATAATGCTAGGGACATCAAAAATCTACATCAAAATTGTACCGATTTACGTATAACACGCTTCTAATTTTTTAACAATTTTTTTCTAGTGAACAGCCGTCCATCAAATTTAGACAGCCATTCACACATGGACGCCCGTCCATATTATATGGACGGCATCCATATACAAGGGACGAGCGTCCCTATGTAAAGGACGCCCGTCCATAAATAAAATACATAAATTTTTTATAAACATTTGGGACGCTCGTCCAAAACGTTTGGACGGGCGTCCATTATGAATGGACTGGCGTCCATACTTACAAAAAAAAAAAAAAAAAAAAAAAACTGCTCAACTTCTACACTTTCGCTCTCTTCTTCTTCTTCTTCTCTGATCATCTAATAACTGCCCATGACTTTTAACTAATCAACTTTTAAGTAAATGCATTTAGATATGCATATGGACCTGTACTCTCCATACTCAATCTGATTAACAAGAATACATTATTATTATTATTATCATTAGCTCGACTTTGCCTTAATCACCATCCCATCCATTATGATAGCTCGCCTTTGCCGCAGTTGCTGGATCTTTTCTGCATCCTTGGACATGAAGCATAAGTTTTTCGTGGAGTGGGAGTTCTGTATCAATGGAAGGTGGCTCGTCCTCATCTGGGATCACAAAGCTGTCTTGTACAGGCCAAGCAATTGAGTACTTTTGCTGTTGAGGGTGCTGGTATAGGCTTTGATATTGATGGTTCAGTGGCTTCTTCCTAAAACCTGGAAATATTCCTCTCAAAATTTCTATAGCAGATGATTTAGTGTTGACAAAAAGCTTTGTAAAGGATCCAAAGAAGCCTTCTTCTTGCTTCTTCTGTTCATCCTCCGTAGGGATTAAAGGCAGCCTGACTGATTTCAGAGCCACTTAGGAGAAAGCTAGTTTTTAGAAAAAAAAGAAAAAAGAAAAAAAAAGGAATAGTATGGACGGCCGTCCTAATGTTTATAAATTTTTTTTATTGTATTTTAATGAGGGACGGGCGTCCTTTACATGGGGACGCTCGTCCCTTGTATATGGACGCCCGTCCATATAATATGGACTGGCGTCCATGTGAGTGAACGGTCGTCCAAATTTGATGGACGGCCGTTCACTAGAAAAAAATTGTTAAAAAAATCAGAAACGTGTTACACGTAGGCTGGTACAAAATTTCGGTGCAGGTTTTTCGGTGTCCCTAGCTTTATTGATTTAACAATCATCAAGTATTTATAAGCTGTTAACCCTAGTTGCACCATCTTTTCTTAACCTTAATAACTTAAGAGTCTATTTGGTTGGATTAATATAGTAGCCAAAAGAGCAAAGTTACAAACATTTTTGAAAATTTTTAACTGTTTCAAAAGTGTTTATATGATTTTAAATAAACTATTTTATAGTCTCTTAAACTTTTTCAAACTTATTTAAAATGTTGAAAATTTTAAAATATCCCTATTTTATTTACAAATTTGACTTGATCTATTTTTGTATATTAAAAGCCTCTTTTGGTAAATTAATGTTATTATTATTAATTTTTTTTTCCTAACCAAATGACAATAAAACTTTCACAAAAGTTATGGGTGTGTTTGGTTTATTATTTTGGATAGGATTTTTGAAATAATATTGGATAGTTGAGTAGAGTTATGATTACGAGAATAAGATTTGAAAAATATGTGTTTGGTAGAGTATTTTTACCTTGATATTTGTGCTGAATATTTAATTGATATATTTTTTTTTATAAATGATTTATTAATATAATATTTTGGTGGATTTTGTTAAAATAATGTATTATTATATATATAACTTATCAATTTACATTTTAATAATATTAAACATTTTATTGGTAATTTTGTCACCAGTAAATATTAAAAAACAAAAATCCATATTAATTTCCAGTACTAATCCAACTGTTTAAAAACATCATATTAATACATATATGACAAAAGTACTAATTATCAACTCTTACAATCGATCTTACACGTATACTCCATTAAGAACTATGGCATGGTCCATTGTGCTGCCCACAGTGCATTCGTTATGTTATCCTATACAGTCGTCATATTTTCTATAATTCCTTGCTGCGGTTGACTCGGTCCTTCTTCATTTCGGCCATCTTCTGCCCCTTTTTGGCGATCACAATATACTTGCTAATTACTCGTATTTCCAGTATACTGTTTGAAGATAGGGTCCTCCATATTGTACATTCTGATATAATTATGAAGTACACAACATGCAATTATTCATTCCATTCAGAATACGGAACTGTCTTTTCAAAACACCAAAGGTTCTCTAGACAACATTGCGCAGTGAAGTATGTCTGTAGTTAAACAACTCTTGTGGCCCCCTTCGGTTACAGCGGTGATCAGAAATATGGTAAGCCACTCGCCTATGAGGGGCGAGGAACCCCCCTCTATTTGGATAACCTGCATCAACCAAATAGTATTTTCCTGTAATAAAATCATACATGTTATTTGAATTACAGGGCCTCAACAGTGGAGCAAATACGCTATAATACGTCAAGAAAATACTTATACCTGGTGGAGGATGTGGGAATCCAGAATTAGGATCATCAATAATTGAATTTAAAACTCTTGAATCATGCACATATCCTTCCCATCCAGTAACGACATAAGTGAACAACATCCTAAAGTCGCATGCAACCATTAAATTCTATGACAACGTTCATTTGTGATTTCGGTACCTATCAGCAAATTCATGTGGAACCGAAACGTATACATTTGTGTCATCAATGACTCCAATACAGTTCTATCATCAAAATTGAATTTTACTGATATTAACCGACTATGAACATGAATAACACAATGAACTTAACTATCCACTAATTGAAAACATAATGAACCAGTACTTTAAATAAAGGGTAATATTTTCGGTTGGATGATATTTCCCATGGAACCTTACTGAAGTCAGGTGGTTTGATAATCTCTTTCTTCAACTCACATATCGCCTCACAAACTGCGCCAACTAGACTTGGCAAAACGGGCGGGTGGGCTGGGTCTAAACGGGTACGGGCCCAATACGGATCAAGGTATACGGGTCCAAAATATTGGACCCGTACCCTACCCTATGCGGGTACGGGTGGACCAGCGGGTACTCGTTTTTTCTCTCTCCAGATTTTAATTTTTCCAGTTTCACCCCAATAGTTTTCAATTATGACAGTTACACCCCCAAAATATCTATAGAGCATAATTTTGACACTTAGAAGATTTGATGTGGACAGTAGAACCTCTAATGCTCCTGCCTCAGATAATTTTATTAACAAATGTAACAGAAATTGAGAATTAATAAACTATTATTTGACTTAATTATAAGTAGATCTAATAACTTTTACATGTCTGCATGTCTGTCTTTCTGCTCTGATCTAAGAGTGCCTCTCACGTAGTTTTATCTTGGAATTATTTTTTATGCAAGAGTCTACTAGAACTTGTATATAATTATATTTAATTAGTTAAACGAACTACAATTTATATATAAGAAGACACCCAGTAATCTTCAAAAAAGCTTCATGCTTCCTACTCTAGCTTGCCAATGAAAATGAATCCTATTTCTCTCTTTGTTATGATACTTGTTGTTCAATTACAGCTCTCCGTAGTTGTGTTGGCTAATAATGTGCCTCCAAAACCCGTAACTAATAAGATGGCCAACAAGAATCTAAGAGGTTACAAAGTGATCAATGATATCAAATCAGAAGTTGAGAGACAGTGCCCCAAAACTGTTTCATGTGCAGACATTCTACAGCAGTCACCAGAGATGCCACGCTTCTAGCTGGAGGTCCATTCTGGGAAGTCCCATTTGGACGAAAAGATGGAAGAATCTCCATAAATAGAGAAGCCAATCGTCTGGTTCCTTAAGGAAATGAAAACATCACAACTTTGATTAATCTGTTCGAAAGCAAAGGATTAAACATCCTTGACTTGGTTGTACTCTCGGGCTCTCACACCATTGGTAGAAGCTCTTGCTCTCCAATCCACTTTAGGTTCTACAACTTTAATGGAACTCAAGGAACTTCTGACCTTTCACTTGACAGAAAATATTTGTAGCTCATTTTCTTGAGAAGAGTCAAATTCAACAATAGAACTGGACCCATTAGTAATTTCAGCTTGATTTAAAGGTCTACATCGGTAGAAGACCCTAATATTGCCTTTCAGCCCAATCACTTCATTGTAAAGCCACTTTTGTTCAGAGGACTCATCTATGTATTTCTTTTTTAAAAGCTCATATTCATTACCTAATACCAAAAATAGCAATTAAAATCACTAAAACAAAAGAAAGAAAAAAAGGCAAGAAACAATTGCCAAAATCAGTATCTGATACTCACTGAGATTCTGAAGATTGTCTAAAACACCAGGGCCAGGAAAACAATCAGTATTCATGTTCTTCACTTGATCTGAAAGACTTGAGTGATCTCTCTTCAAATCCTATAACATAAAGCATCAACATTAATCCCGAAACCAATAAAAAAAACAAAAACAAAGAGAAGACTCTAAATTTTATAGAACTTGATACAAACAGAGCAATTACCTACAATAACAAATAAACTGAACACAAATCCTTCATTTTCTGAAACTCAATTGCCTAAAATAAGACTAAACTATCCTACTTCTGTCAGCAAGAAATAAAGTGAAAGTGATACAAGAAGCGCCATTTTACCTGAATCTTATTGCTCAAAAATATAATCTTCTGCAATATTGGAAGGGTTGGCCCTTAAGCTGGAAAAATTTCTCGATTTGTGTTCGATAAATCATCCTCATCCATGAAATTGCTACTCTCTTCAACTAGCTCTAAAGCAACAACAAAATCCTAATATAAATATTCAAATGATAGAAATAGAAGAAGCAACAAATAAAGCAGTCAAAACCCTCACTTCGGTCACTAAAGATCTTAAAAAATAATGTTTTTAAATCACATGATTTCATCTTTTAGAGACCCAATCGAACATTAAACGAGCTTAGTAGCCGATCTCACTGGTAACCAAAACAAGAACCAACTCCTTCAATCATGACGATGACGATAGAGAGAGGAGATGACGAGCCGACGAGGATGAATGACGGCGATCGGTGAAGGTGGGTCTGGGAATGGGATCACGGTTCACGGATGAGAGTGATGACTGATGATGACAGTGATGAGTGATGATAGTCTACTAAAGTGAACACTGAACAGAATGATGAGATAAGAGATTGAGAGAATGAATTAGTGACAGTGATGAGAGATTCAGAGGCGCGAGAGAGAAGAGAAAGTTTGTTTTAGAGTTGGGTGGCGTTAGTGGGTTAAGGACTTAGGGTTCAGCTTTTAAAAAAGCGGGTACCCGCGGGTTTACCCGTGTAACCTGTCAAAAAACGAGACGAGCCGGGTACAGGTGGGAATTAAACGGGTCCAACATATTAAACCCATACCCTATATTTTTTACCTGGGTACGGACCGACCCATGGGTCTAGGCCGTTTTGCTAGGTCTAGCGCCAACATATCTAGAGATCGTCTCACCTGAATGTTGGAAATCCTCCATCATCGTTTTGATTGTCTCGTTTTCACAAACGATTGTTAGAAATATCATAACTTGTTCTTCCACACTCATCCTCCTGGATGGTCGCAATTTGCCTTGCTCTGACAAAATTTCACATAAGTATGTAAAACAATCTTTGTCCATGCGGCACTTGTCAAAGATCCTGTCAGCATGACCATTGAGTACTTCCAACATGTACTCATGACCAATTAATATGGATGTATGTCGTGGTTCACGCCCAATTGTTTCTAACGCGGCAACACCACATAGTTCAATGGCTATATCTGTCAGTGTTTCTTCTTCATCATCTGTAGAACGTTGTCTTCTTCCTGTAAGGCTAGACGATGCCATTTAAATCTACACATTTGCAAAACATTGATCCACAATTAACAAAATATAATAGTCAATATTTAATTCTAATGACAATCCAAAACGGGGTTGAAACATGTAATATCACATAAAACAGTAGCACAATTAATAAGTTCATATAATAGTGTTATAAATTCTAATTGTAATGACTAGTGCCCACTGACGCATACAAAAGGGCTAGCAAACACTTAGGAAATATAATGTCATCTACAAATTCAGAAAGTTTTTATAAATCCAGTTTGCCTTTTCCTCGGGCTAGAGTTTCACAAATATCTCCCGCCACCTTGGATTTTCATACAAGTAGTTGACAACCGGGAGGTAAAACTGTGTGGGTACTTGCATGGCCGTCATGATGTCAATACAATTGCTCATGGAAAACGGATCAGATGAACAACTGGTGTTCTCTTCGTCCCTCTCATCTACACTGCGATTACTAGCCCTCGATCCCATAGTCTGCCTCTCCACAAGCTCGTCCGTCAATCTATCAATGACAGCCACAAGTGAGTGTCCTGGGCCGCTTCGCCTGCTCTTATTTTTTGCTCTTCCATGGCTAGATGTGTTTGGCTATTTTTCCCCTGTCGTTTGATTTGGATCAGGTTCAAAGTCACTATCATCCAGGGGAACTGCGCCCTGATTGGAATAACTGGAGGTCTCCACCGGTTGAGATGTAGAGTTGTACGCATATCTCCTAGTGGCAGTTTGCTTCTCAAATATGATTTCATAAAGGTCCTTGTGAGGAAGGCCCTTGTGGTAGAATTGTTACGCCAGTGGGTTTTGCTAGTAATGCAAAAGAATAATATATTAATATTTGGCAGTCTGAAAAAAATATGCATACAATTATGGTGTCGTTGATTAATATTAGTTAAAAAAGTTGAAAATTTACCTTTAAATATTCTTGCCAAACGTCTATGGGACACGTTGGACTTTGCGACTCATGATCCCACCCCAACCTCGTGTGTTGCAGCAATTTTTGCCATGCGTGATATAGTCTTCGCAGGCAAAAGTACTTAGAGGTTAGTTGTGTGACATTGAGTCTCCTCCCAGCCACTGATGATATGTTGTCCAACATTTCCTGGTAATCTACTGTTTTAATTAAAGTACCGTGCACAGTTTTTGCCCACTCAGACAACAGGACCAGAAATTTGTGGGTCATCTCAGCAGACCAGTTCATGTTATCACCCATCTAAGGACAATACAGTGAGAATGAAAACCAACATTAGACACCATACGAATCACCAATCACATTACAAACAGACATATGCACATGTAAACACAGATAAACTTATACCTCGTTCGATCCGACACTGCTTGAAGACGTCAATGAAGGGGAAGATGCATGGGAAGGTATAGACAATGTCGACCAACAGGGTGTATGACGAACTCCAAGTCTAGAAAAAGGTTGAAACTTATGCCTCTGCTACAAGTAGTAATCAATCCTGCGACGTCGGGACAAATTATACTGACATTTGTGCATATGATCGTAATCTACAGAACAAATATATCAGTTAGTGAAATCCCAACAAATTATTTCCAATAATCTAATAATTTTTTACTCCCAAAATTTATCCATTACATACATCATGTTACATAAACAACATATGAAACTGCACAATATTTTGACGCATGTGCTAAACATTGTAAGCAACATAGCACATGCTGTTACCGTTAAACCCCAAAAACAAATCCATAGATCCAATCGTGCTCACGTGCAGATATCAGTTTCAGTCAACCAATTATAAAACGCATAATTACAATCGAAATTAAAAGGATTAATGAAAAGAAAAAACAGTAATAACACAAATTATTTCCAATAAAATAAAAATGAGGAAAATTGCGTCTCGGGTGTCTTGAAACCGAAGACGCAATTTGTAAATTGATTAACAAAGGAGTTTATGTCTAAAAATGTACAAATTACACATAACACTTTCCGTATGATAAGTTAATGAACCAATCAACAAAAGCAAACACAAATTAAAAGTACAACAAACCCCACGATTTACCTCTACAGCATAACCTAACATACATCAAGTGGATGACACGTGGAGATTAAAAAGGAGGCAATTGATCTCACATGGCCTTCATCTTGCGTCTCACACTCCCATACTTGGTAACACATATCTAAGACCAACACACACAAAAACAACAACAAATACCTGTAATTGCTTTTTATTGTCACATTTATTCACATTTCTTTTAATCTATGCCTCGTCCACCAAACTAAGAGTTTCAAGAATGGTGGAATAAGCAAAGAGACAATGGTCACAAATGGTGGTGGGTGGGTTTTGCAAAAAAACTGACGTGGGACAGATCTGGTGGTGTGGGGTGGTTCACGGTGGTGGGTGGTTGACAGTGAATGTGCGACAGATCTAGTGGTGTGGAGTGGTTCACGGTGTGAAGAAAACTGAGAAAATGAAGTTGGATGTGTTATGTTTGGTATTTGCAGGTGGAGAAGAAGTTGGATGGAAGAAGAAGAAGTTTGTAAACATGGTGAAGCACTGATGCAGTGAAGAAGACTGAGAAAATGAAAAAAAAAAAAATGAGAAAGAGAAAAAAAAGCTGCAAAAAGTCTTAATAGTAAAAAAAAAAAAAAAAAGCTGAAGAAGTTATGTTTGGTATTTGCAGGTGGAGAAGAAGTTGGATGGAAGAAGAAGAAGTTTGTAAACGTGGTGAAAAGAAGACTGAGAAAATGAAAAAAAAATGAGAAAGACAAAAAATAGCTGCAAAAAGTCTTAACGGTCAAAAACATGTCAGGATCGTTTTTTCAGGATTCATTGTTTGAATAATAAGCCAAACACTATTCAAATAATCGGTTTCAGAATATGAGAATAAATAATAAGCCAAATGCACCCTATAATCTTATAAGCTTATCTTTCATAAGCTCTATTAATTTTTTTTTGTACCAAACAGACTCTTTAGTTTTCCTAAACTAACTAATACTTTTTTTTTTTTTTTAATATCCTAACCCAACTCTAATTTTTTTTAGTATTGTTATAAATTACCTTTTCAACATTAATTATAAATCATCTAACCATATTATAATATATTAGTTTGTATAATGAGATAACATAAAATTTTGAAGTGTTAATTAATCGATTGAGATTGGTATATTTACTGTTAGAAGTCATTTGATCTGATTAACATTATACATAGTGTATGAAGCAAATGAACATAAAAAAGAGAGTAATATAGAAAAGTAAGATGAAATTAGATAAATATTTAAGAGAAACATTTTGTAATTTAAGCCAGATAAATATAATTATTGCTCTTAGCTCTTCAAGAGTATTCATACTTGGAGTCGGGCCCCTTTTAGGAATAGAAACAGTAGAGATATCATATTGTACGAAAGAAAGAAGAAAGAAGAAAGAAGAAAGAAGAAAGAAGAAAGGAAATGTATTTTTTATTTTTGACTTGACTTCTCAATACACTTTGTGCTCGACTTTATTTACAAACTAACTAACAAATAGACTAACTAAACTAATAGATAGTTACAACTAATATATGTAACTGCTACTAACTAATATCCCCCCTCAAGCTGGACACTGATGAATATCAAGGAGTCTAAGCTTGTGTGAGAAAACTGAAAGTGGTTCAAGAAAACAAAGAAAAATATAGAGCTAATCAAGAAATGATTTCAGATTAGTAATTGCAACTGAATGTTTAACAAAACTAACTTACATGAGTATTTCTTCTTCCCTTTTATACAACACTTAGAACTCAGCTCAACTGCTTAGTAGAAGCTGATCTTAATTAATACAAAGACAAAAATGACGATGCTTTGACAAATATTGACAAGCTCTTA